CCCTCCCTTCTTCTCTTGTGATTTAGGGCATGTATGCATTCCCACACACACAGCCTGTTTCTCAAGCCTCTGGGTCTGGGACTTGACCTGCACAGTCAGCCGTGTGGGATCCAACTGCCTTACCCACCACGCCGTGGACTGCCCCAGTATAATATACCTTGATAGGATCTAGTTTGAGAACAAGGGACTTCTAATTTGAGAAACTAAGAATGATAAATTTCAGTTTGAAAAGAGCTCCTATCAGAGCAAGGTGAATTCTGCTGAAACAGAAAAAAAAAATCAAGTTTATGGTGGACACTTGGGTGGAAGAATTGATGCTCTGAGAAAACTTTATGGGAACCAGGCTCCAAAGCAATCAGCAGTCGATAAATGGATAACTCATTTTCAGAGATGAGGGTGAGAATATGACACTGAGAGCAACAGGTGATCTACATCAGTTTGTGAGAGAAAAAACTCCTCTTGCTCCTGCTCTCATTAAAGAAGACGAAAATGTCACAGCAGGAACAATAGCCGCACCATGGACAGCTCAGCTGGTGCAGCTTACACGATTCTGACTGAGAGACATTGAGCAAACTTTCTGCTCATTGGGCGCCAAAGCCATTTTTGTGCGGATCACCTGCAGACAAGAGCAGATCCTTCAATGGGAATTTTAAACAGGCAACATCAAGATCCTGAAGCATTTCTTTAAAGAATTGTAATAGAAAATGACATACAGCTTAGTTATGGAAAGTCGGGTGTAATCACTCAGGCTCAAAAGTCACAGGCAAGGCAGTAAGCAGTATTTCCACAACAAAAGGGTTATTTCTGAAAAGACATCTGAGGAGAGTGGAGTTCAACATTGCCATCAATCATCTCTGTGGAAAGCAGGAATTTCTGGGTTTTTATGGGAAGAATGCAAAGGGAGGAGCTGGGAGCAGGAAGTATTTCTAATCCATTAAAACAATGCTGGGGGCCAGCAGGTGGTATAGTGGTTAAGGGGCTGGACTACCACATGGCCAAAAGAGTCCTGCACCTGGTTGCTTAAAAATCACACTGGGCAAGGGACCAGCAGGTGGTGAAACGCTTTCATCACTGGACTCCCAGAGAGTTGACCACAGTTTGAGTCCTGGACCCGGCAGCTTAAACCTCATGCTAGGCATATGTGCGTGCGTGCCCAAGATCCCAAGAGGAGAATGGAGGAGAAGGGACTGCAGTGTGGCCATCCCCCCAGGGGGTAATTTTCTCACTTTCTGTCTCTCTTTCTCTGTCTCTCTGTCTAGTATACATACCCTGTAGCAAAAAATGTCTCCTAAGGAAAAAGAAAGACAATGCTGGGCAGTTTGGAGCTGACCCAAATCAGGTGTTACCTTCACCTAGTTTCTGGAAGACTTTTTCAAACACTTACGTCTATCCGTTTTTAGTAAAGTTTAACTACATTCTAAGAAAGGACAGAACTAAGAGGGTAAGGAATAAACAAACTTATGTCCCAAGGAAGCAACTAAAAAGCCAACTATGCCGTCATGCTGGTGCCGGTCACAGAGGGTCTCAGTTTCAGCTCTACCACCGAGCTGAGGACTGGCAGAATCAGAGCAGTGGCTACACAGGGGTGGAGGGTCTAGTCAAAGTAAAAGCAAAATTGCTTCTAGACGTTTTGGTGAAGATCAAGTGTAGTATCTGTTCTTAGAAGTTTAATAACTGCTGTGCCTTCTCTCAGAGGACTAGATATTAAATGGACATTTTAGAGGAGAGAGAGAGAAAATAGGCTTGCTCCATCCACTCCACGCACTGACCTGATACTGCAAGAAGAAAATTCATGGCAACATCTCTGGGGAGGCTCAGGTGTTTTGCTTATTGGGTTTCTAGAGGGCCAAAGAACGACGCCATTTGCTAATTGTGAAAGTGTATTAAGAAAGCTGGTCAGACCATTAGCAGAAACATGTCCAGGGAAGCTTTACCAGAGTCCTTGTCCACCAGAGCAAAGCTCCAGTTTACCCCTCTCATCAAACAAGGGTAATTTCTCAGGTGTTTCAGTGGAAAATCCTTATATTTCCACAGAGGAGTCCTGATTTGGCTCCTTCTGATATCTTTTTGTTTCCTAATCTATTTTTCTTTCAGTTTAGAATAGAATTTATAGATTAATCTTGGAGAGAGGACTTTTTGAAACTTTTTTTAATTTAATTTATTTTACTTTTTACATTTAATTACTATACATCCTTACAGCATTCCTAAGGGTTTTTCCCAGCATGAATATATTGCATATTAGCCTAGTCCAACTATTATTGTTTCCTAATTTTTTTTTTAGTGGTTTTGACTTAAGATGCATATGCTTGCTGGAGAGAGAGAGGCAGAGACAGTGAGAGGGAAAGTGAGAAATCACCCCTCGGGGGGACAGCCATGCTACAATCCCTTATCCTGGGATTGAACATATGCGCCAGGCATGAGTTTCAAGCCACTGGTATGGGACTCGAACCACAGTAGGCCATATGGGAGACTAGTGATGTAACCATATGCCATCTTCTGGCCCTTGTTTCCTAATCTTAATCTTATGAAATCTTTAACAAGCACTCCTTTTTATTTTTTTTTTTCAGTTAATAATGTAAAAAGAATGCAATGACATGGTCAAATTCTCAAGACCCTCAGTTTTTTAGGGCTAGGGTAAATGACTGTATCATTGATTATACAGTGTCTTGAACATGGTGAACTTTAGGTTGAGAAATAAAGTTCATATACATACACAGTTGTCAGAGAGAAGAAGGGAGCACCCCGCAATGGGACGTGGTCCTGCACAATCCCTTCTCCTTCACCTCTCCATCCTCTAGGGACTTGGGGCACACACATAAACTCACCCAGTATGTATTTTCCAGCCACAACAACAGGGACTTGAACCATGTGGGTGACCATGTGGGATACAGCTCCCTTAACCACTAGGCCATGGGACCAGTCCTAAAGTTCATATTTTTTAAGTTTTATCTTTTAATTACTGTTTTCATGAGCTTTTTGAAGTCCTCTCATACAAGTTTAAAAAAAAAAGAAAAGGAAAGGAAATCTCCCTGATAAAAATAGTTTTTCCCTTTCTTAGAGTATTTATTTTAACAACTTAGTAAGTTCTTTCTCTGTCTGCTTGAAATATATGTCAATCTTTTTAAAAGCTAAACAAGCCTCTTGCTAGCTTAACAGACTCAGACATGTCTTTCTTAAGGACCTAGGGATCACATCTTTGAAATGTAATCATCGATGAAGATCGCACCTGCTTCTCTGCCTCTGCGGGAGGCTAGCAACCTAACTTTGGTGAGTGGGCGCCTCAATCCACGGTGTAAAACCACCTCCTGTGATCAGGACATAGAAGTTTGTTTCTTTGGATAAAGCCAGTCAGCAAAAACAGTTGGTTACCCCAAACAACATGCGAACTGCAGGTGACCTAGGTGTGACAAAGGTGCTGTCCAGTCCTCTTATTCACTAGTCACGATGTCTGGGAGGCATGGGTGTAAGGGACAGTGTGCACTTGCTGTGTAAATGGGTGACGTTTTCTTCTGCCTTTGTAAGCTCTTCGGCGATTGTCTGGGGTATGAATCACATTCTAGCTAAATGTCTATTCAATAATAAGACTAAAATTATTTCTTTCTCTTCTAGCTTTATGAAGAAGTTATCTGGATTAGAGGACAATTCTGTTTCTGTTTATATATTTTAAAAAGCATACCTTCAAACATTACAAACATTCAAACACTGAAAAATAGTTTATTTGTCCCTAAAACGCTCTGCAAAATAGCTGACATAATTATCCATAATGTCAAGATGATGAAAATAACAGAAATGCTGAAAAAATATGTGCTAGCAATTAAAAAAAAATAAAACGAAACAACTAAATTCAGTGTAAGTTTCCAGCCTGGGTCTTTCCGGATGGCTTGAGTTTCAGATGGGAGTAATGAATTGATGTTAATTTCCTTATGTTGGTGGTTATATTGAAGAATATGTGCAGAAAATATTAAAACCCTTATATTTGATGCAGCATTATTTCCAAAGGTTTTAGGGAGAAATGTATTTATTTATTTTTAATTAAATTAATTAATTAGTTTTTTTGTTTTGTTTCATTTTTTAGGTTTTTGCCTTACGGTGCTTGTGCTCACCTGAGAAAGACACAAAGTGAGAAGTCACCCTATGAGGGAATGGCCATATTGCAATCCTTTCATCTCCATTCTCCTGTTGGCAATTTTATGGGCATGCATGCCTGTGTGTCCAGTGTGATTTTCAAGCCACCAAGTCTGGGACTCCAACCAGGGTCAGCTATGTGGGAGTCCAGTGCCTTAACCACCATGCCACCTGCTGGCCCCAAGAAAAATTTATTTTGAACTATATTTTTTGCGAGTTTGTGATTGTTTCAAATTATGGAGGAGATGATATACAGGAAGAGAGACCCATAAACTCATCGACAAAGATATAATGTGTTAACATTTCTGATGTTTGTTTCTTTAAAAAAAAATTACAGGTATATTTTAAGGCTCCATTCTGCAGTCTTTATTTTTGCCTCTTTCAAGATAACTACTCTATTATGTATGATTCCCACACAAACTTATATAATGTATGCTGTTGTTCTGTATTTTCAACTACAAAAGTGGTATCATCATGCATATACTTTGGTACCTTTTTAGCTAACATTATTTCAAGATTTATACATTTTTATTTTACATCTTGCAAAATTTCCTTTTAACAGCAGAGTTTTATAAGTCAGAGTTTATTCATTCCTCTACTGAGAAACAGGCTGTTTTGATTTTTCCCACTATGGTGGGCATTGTTACAGCAGCTTGAAAAATTTTAAAATCTGGGACCAGCAGTTGGTGTAATGGCTATGTCCCTGGACTCCCACATAGTTGACCACGGTTCAAGTCCCAGACCCGGTGGCTTAAACTCACGCCGGGCCCGTGTGCATGCGTGCCCAAGATCCCGCGAGGAGAATGGAGGAGAAGGGATTGCAGTGTGGCCATCCCCCCGGGGGATGATTTCTTGCTTTCTGTTTCTCTGTCTCTGTCTAACCAAGCGAGCGCATGTGCCCTATAGCAAAAGCCTCTCAAAAAAAAAAAAAAAGGAAAAGAAAAAAAAGTTTTAAAATCTGTTCTCCCAGGTGTGGCTTGGATTTCATTGACTTTTTAATTAATATTTGTTGTACAGGAGGCTTTGATTTTAATATCGACACATTTGTTGATCTATTTTTAATACTCATGCTGTCATTTTTTGAAAACAAATACGATGTTTATGTACTATAGGCATTTTTCTATATGTACTTCAGGTAAAAAGATGCAATAGGTTTTTGAGAAAAACTTTGAAAAATAGAGAACTTAAGCAAACTCTCTAAAACATTAGTAATGATATATGTATATACACACGCACACAGAAGCACAAGTGCACACGTACACAAGTGGCCCTCTATATCTGTAGCTTCCACACCCGTGGATTCAACCAACCATAGATAGAAGATGTTCCACTGTTGCTGACTTGAACTGCATTGGACCTAGAATGGCGGTGTCTGTTCTGAACATGTACAGCTTTTTCCCATTGTCAGTCTTCCCTAGACAACACACTGTAATAACTGCTTACATAGCTTTTACGTCGTAGCAGGTATTACGTGTAATGTAAAGATAATTTAGGGGTCAGCTGGTGGTGTAGTGGGTAAAGAGCTGGACTCCCACATGGTTGACCACAGTTTAAGTCCTGGACCTGGAGGCCTGAAATTCCCGCCGGGCACCTGTGCATGTTTGCCCACATTCTGAGAGGAGAATGGAAGAGAAGGAATTGCAGCATGGCCATCTCCCTGGGAAGGTGATTTCTTGCTTTGTCTCTCTCTTTCTCTCTGGTGAGCGCACACACCCTATAGTAAAATCTCTCTTAAATAAAAAGATAATTTATGGGGCCAGCAGGTGGCATGATGGTTAAGGCTGATGCACTCACACATGGCTGACCACAGTTTGAGTCCCAGACTGGGCAGCTTGTTTTCTATCTTTCCTTCTCTCTCTCTGTCTCTCTAGTCAACTTCGGTAAAATAAAATAAAATAAAATAATGACAGTAAATAAAATTAAATAAAAAATAATTCTAAAAAAAGATAATTTAAAGTATGTGACTGTGTGTAGGTTATATGCAAATGCTTCTCCTTTTCATAGAAGGGACTTGAGCACCTAAAGATTTTGGTAGCTGGAACCAATTCTCCAGTTGCCAATAAGGACTGTATAGGTGCTCTTCTAGGTCGACAGTCCAGTAATTTTCTAAAATAAATATTAGCATTAAATATTGTATTGAGTATTATAAATGGAATATATAATTTATTTTCTGTATGTTTGGGAAAACAGGAAAAACATTTAAGGTAATCGGATTTACATTATTTGTCTTTCAGGTAATTATGTGGAGAAATGTTTGAGAGTGTTAGCATTTGAATCTACTTTTAAAATCATTTGTTTACTCATTCATTCATGCATTTGTGCAAGCATTTGTTCATTTATTCAACAAATATTTGATTTGCTAATATCTTTTCTAGTCCCTAGTATCGCAATAGACTATTAGAAGCAGAACAGTCTCTGGTCTCAGATTGTGCATTTTGATGAGGCAAAATAGACAACAAACGAAGAACTGGTAACTACAATGATCAGTCAGGAGCAAGGGACTGGAGGACAATAAAGCAGGTGGAAGTGGGCAGTGGCCACTACCCAGGTAAGGTTTTCTGGCAGGAAAAGAAAGAACGGAGACATGAGGGCTGAGAGGAAAAGCCCCCGTGTACATCTGAAGGAAGGCTATTCCATGAGGGGAAAGAACAAAGACAGAGGCCCTGATCTGTGTGTGTG